GTGATGTCGCGAGTTCAAGCATCGTATGTCGTGTTACCAAGGCGGTGGTATTTTACGTGACAAGTTTCAACTAGTCGCCGTGGAACGTTCTATCGTAAGTCGAAGGCATAATATGCTGTGGAAACGGATATGTACAAGTGCGTAACGTTGTGTAACGGTTGCTGGAAGAGAAATTGAAGTGATCGTCGGGAAACTGACAATTAAAATTTCACATCGAGCGTCGCGTTTGATTGGTTCGTTTATATACGAACGATCGAAACGTTCGTTTATCGATGATGTTCCGATCGGTTTATTGGTGAAATAGGTGGAACGTATGTAAGAAGGAACGAATACGATAGTTTTCGGTTGGGAACTAAGCATCGAGTGAATCTAACCTTTACACGGATCACGTATACATACGTACTTACAGTGGGAGATGTTCTTAGATCGATGTGTGTAACTGTTTAGTGGTTTAAAATTGACATTCTTCCCAGGAAAATAGTTTTTCTCAAGAATCTTATTTTACATAACTGTTCCGCTGGATATCTTTCGAGTAGAATTTAAAAGTGTATCGGACGGTGCACGGAGTGAAATATTAGAAGATAACTCGTAACACCTTTCCGGTCACGTCACGCGGAGAAAATTTCCGGGATCTAGCTACCTGGCACGATGCAGCATCTGCTCGTTTGTCGAATCCCCTTTCCTAGATAAATCTACGCGCTATGTTTGTACAAGGCCTCTACAGGGTTTCGACTTATTGTCAATCTCTTACGGTACTTCGCCGCTTTCGTTGAATGCGAATTGAGGAATTTATTATCGGTTTTCGAATCAAAGGAACTTTCCACGACTACCTGTTGGCCTGTGAACAAAACGAGGATTCCCATCGTTTCAGCATTTATATACGTTTTATTTCGTTACGCGAATACAATAACGAACCAGCTCGTAAATCATACTATATCTACTTCAATAGTTAGTTTCTCTAACTGTTTCTTTCAGTAACGAAACGGAACGGTCCGTTAACGTTCCTTACGTTCAGCCGAATCGTAGTTCCGTACACAGGACACTTGGGCGCTGCAGTCGACCGTTTATTCGACAAGGATCATCCACAGAAAACGCATCTTACGTGTCGTTCGCAACACGCGTTACTCGGGTACTTCAGGCTGTGCTAATTTCAAGTCAGTCAGGTACCTGAAGTAGCGCGCGCTGCGGCGAAACCAGATCATCGCTTTTTTCGTCACAAATTCAAGTCCACCTGGCGGGAAGCACCAAAGAAGAGATCAACGATAAAAAAAAAAAAGGAACGCAAAAGAAACGAATGGAGGGGAGGAACTGTGGAGGCTGCATGTTAATTGTACTTCATCAGGTGCTCTGGTGAATTCGATACCCGGCACCTGTTGGAGCGCAATTCATATGACTGTGCCCTGCTACTTTAATTTGTCGTGACAGAAAAAAACTGACACATTGAGGAAGTGCAATTTGCAACGTACATACTGTTGGCTTCTGTTCTCGACAGCCAGTTTTATTAACGAAAAAAGCAACGTTTGCAATTTAAAGTTCGTTTTATTAATTAACTTTAATTTTTTTATTAAAAAAGTAGAAATGGTACGACGTGGAACATTTACCGTGAAGTTAACGTACTAAGTTTAAATTTTCAATTTAATTTAAAATTTGAAATTCAAATTAAAAATTTTCAATTCAATTTAATGTAAAAGCGAACATTGTCTGGTACGAGTCTGTACTGATTCATTAGAAGAATAAATCTGTCTCGATACGGTTGTAAAGCAATTACAACCTGTGCAGTGATTACGAGGAACGCTGGTGACTAATCGAATCGTTTCGCTTTTCCCGAGAACTTGTTGCAGATCGATTATCGTCATCGATACACAGCATCGTGTAACATGGTTACTGGGTGTTCGGTAAATTGCGCGATTTAATTTTGAACACGATCCCCGTTTAATCGGTAAATAAAATTAAGCGGCGCCCTGTTGTTAGGTGGACGGGCCGAAATGTTGTTAGAGCAGAGAGTATCGTTTCTCTCTGGACAGACAAAGGAGAGGAGGAACCGTAGCTTCGTAATGTCGCGAACTAATGGGATAATGACGTTACATGGGGGGGGTCGCGTGGCGGTGCACCGAGCGAAAGAAACGAGAGACAGAGGGAGTAGATAGGACGAGAAAGAGGAGCCCGGAGTAACGCAATTATTCGCCTCTTTGCTCAGTTCCAATAGAAGCCTCAGAGCGTCGAAAAGTGCCTATTTGCAGCGGCTTATGTTCTTTTATTTCGGTCAGTAAACTTCCAGTCACGAAACCTGCAATGCGTGCAGGAGAAAAATTATCTTCGATCAATTGCAGTCTTCACAGTTTTACTTTATCCTTAATACAACTGTCATGCTGATCAGCTCTTTCTCTTAAATCTCATTTTTTTAATGCATTTTAAATACTACACGTGGGAATGTATTGTCTATGAATGTTACCGGTAACACTTCGAACATAACCTCGAAAAAAGAAGTTGCGTTACTTATTATTACTTATTATTACTTGTGTAAACTGAAGTTTCTACAAGTTTTGACTTGCCTTGTCGATAATGCTAGTGGAAAAATATCATTCTTTTTATTAACAGACAGATAAGGATATATTTTATATTAATACGATTTAATCCGATGGCAAATTGATCGTAAAAAAAGTAAAGGAAACGAACATCTCGAAGGAAGTATATGCTACGTTGTAACATATGGTGGGCATTTTTTATGTTTTTCCAGTACCACGGTTAGGGTTGCAACTTTGTCCCATAAAAAGTTTAATACGAAAACATGAGTCGATGTCAAAAGAGATTTCAGTTTTAATAAATCCTATGATGCGCGTGATATATGAGTTACGTTCAAGCTCGTAAACGTGTCACCTAACTCTTTCAGTGCTTCAAGCCGGTTATAAGCTTTAGCTGAATATGCATAAACGCGCGACGAATGGTGTTGCAGCGTATCGCAATTTGGTACGCTTCACACGCGACGCGCGTCCAACTTTCAGTATTATCACCGAAAAAGGTTAAAACTTGGACGGAAAGATAAGGCATTGAATCAGCGCCAGAGCCCTAGCACTCGGTCAGTGAATATAACCGGTGTCCGTGAAAGACACGTCTGCGCGCATAAAAGGAAATTAAAGTGGTATTAAGAGTCAATAGACCGTTGCAGAGAACTGTATCAACGAGCTTTAAAAAGATACACCGACAGGTTATATAAAGACTCGTATCCATAAAAGAGTTTTAGATTATATTTCTGGTTCGGTACTTGAAAAGAGGTTATGACCTAACGTCGTTTAATTTTCACGATAATAACCTTACCTTTGCTTTTCTAATCGTTTAGGTATTTGTGGCCAGGATAAAACAAGTAATTCGACGACTTTTAAAAGCTTCAGCCTTTAGTTAGAAGCAAAGAGAAACGTCGACCCTGGGGAAATTCCCCTGAATCATTGAAACGATCAATTTACATAAGGCCTGTTCAATTAATCGGGCAGCACTGAATCGATTTACTTTTAAAATAACTCGTTGAAGGTGTGAAATGAAATCCCCTTCGAAATTCTCCAGGGAGGAACACGTCATTTGAAGGTTATGTACTTACGAAGTGTCGATTTTCATGATTCTTTAGCGTGAAACAACATTGTCGAACGTTTTTATGTAACCTATAAGTGCATCTTTTATGCAACACATACGAATCAGTGTTCGAAAAAAATAGAGAAACGTCCGACGAACAACGAGAATCATTTATACCGCCAACGAGGCGTAAAATCAGACTCGCGTCGTTCGGTGGTCCGGTCGATTCCATAGAAAAACATATCGCAATTACTCACGGGAAATCAACGAGTCACGGACACGGGAGTGCGAAGTTTTATCGTTGTGACGTCGGGCCGGTTGTTTTTCTATAGCCGCGCGATAATATCCGCAGAAAAATATTTGCACAATTACTGGATCCGACAACTGCGTCTATATATCTCAATACGTGGAGGGGTACATACACTGAAACGTATCTATCGATAAAAATTGTATTTTTATAAATAGTATTATACATCTTAGAACATACACGGTCATGAAACATGTTTAATTTACAGATTACTAGTCGCAGGCCCTTGGACAACGAAGGGAGCCCATGGATAACCGGGCGAACAACGTCCGGAACAAATTCTACACAGTATTCGCAGAAAAAACTCTTCTTCCGTCGTATAACGATAAGTGACGTAGTGTCTCTCAACTCGAATACTTGTATCGAATTCTGTTCAATGAACAAACTCAATGAAATATACAAAAACAAAAAATGATCTCGTTACATCTGTGTCATTGTCTTTTCTGTAACATTCACCCACGTCAATATTCAACACCTATCCTTTTACAGTATTTCCTTATACATATATTCCAATTACCATCACTCGAGAATCGTCTGAAAACGTTCGTAGTCTCATCCACGAGATAAGTAGACAGAAATTTTTCGAATCTTTCTCTCAACGGTGGCCGTAGAGGAACACGCGCTGTTTTAAATTGATCCTGTCTAACCTTGAATCGCAATAGCTTTCGAGTTATTTTCACGACACCTAACGGCTCAACCGAGGACGACAGGCATTTTGCGTTAAAAAAGAAACGTGTATCCCTAGCACAAGCGTCTGAAATCGCTTCACCTCGCGTGACACGCCAGCGTTACACACTTTTTCAGCTCTTGCGATAATCGAGTCAAAGGTTAGTCGAACGGGAACCCGGATTATTTCTCGTTAAAAAAATCGACCAACGGTAATACCGATAAGTTCGCACACGTTCGCGTTAATTATCGACCAAGGATACATCGATTTCGTAAACGAGTAACAGGGCGTTGTTTCTTTCCCTCCTCTTTACCGTTATCGAGAAAACAATTGGAACGTAATTGACGAGTTCACCGCGCCGAGTAGTTCAATTTCGCGCGGAAGCAATTTTCTCGGCTGTAACTTCTGACGGCCATCGAAGGCCAATTGCAGCAGCGTTCACACTCGTTGACCTCGGTCGGAGGTGTTCGAAGGGCACGAAATTCAACGAAGGATTTTCACCGGTTTTATCAGCGCGTTCGCGAGCCATGAAATCCGCGCCTCGTACTTATGCCTTTGTCAGGACACTCGCGCGGAACGTGTCGCGACGGAACGATGGAGAGAAAGAAGGAAAGAGAATCGTGAGGTAGAGAGAGTATGGCAGGAAAGGAAAAAGGGGCGACGAGGGGGGAAACGACTAGGAGGAGCAAGAAGAAGGAGAAGAAGAAGAAGAAGAAGAAAGAGATCGACCACCGCCCTCAGTCAACACCGATGAACGAATGAGAGAGAGTGAGAAGGGGAAGGCCGTCGATGGCGGCGTCATTCCAGGCTCCTGGCTGCAAACCTTAGTTCGAGGCGGAGGGCGTCTTGGGAGGCTGGAAGGGGTTCCATTTCAGACACTCCGGATCGATCTCTTTGTAGACGGGTCCTCGTCTCTTCACCCTCTCCTTGTAGTCGTCGATCACGTCCTGAAATTATTTCAACGGTTCTCCACCGGTTCGTTTCTCTCTTTTTTTTTAAACCCTCTGTACATAGGAGACACAAGACGATGTCTCGTAAAATTAATTTTTTCTTTTCTGTTATCAGAAATATATCTAACTCTTAATTAATTGGCACCGTGTGTAAATCGAGACCATTTTTTATAAAAAAAAAAAAAAAATACAGGATATGTATCGTATATTCATAATAACAATAAAAATGCACAGTCAAATGAAAGTTGACCATAATCTAACCTCAATCCCACGTGTGACTCAACGTCACAAAATAAGAAATTAATATTTCGATAAGTTTTCCCGATCACTTTTAACGCATTCAACATATAAGGGGTGAAAAAAAAAAACGCGAATACAAAGTAGGATTATACGCAATACCGTTTTTCCGTTGCATGACGTGTCGTCCAATACTGGTTCCCGCCGCGGAAGCTGTTTAACGTAATTTATGCGCGTATAAGTTTAAAACTGCGAAGAGTCGTATTCTGCCGCTGACTTTAGGCATATTTCCGTGCACACGATTTCTCAAGAGCAAGCCACGATAAATCACGCGACACGATGACACACACAGTCCGTTTCGCGGACGGGAAAAAAAGAAACGAACAAGTCG